GAAGGAAGGAAGGAAGGAAGGAAGGAAGGAAGGAACGATGGAGAGAGAGAAAGAAAGAAGAGAAAGAAAGAAAAGCAAGAGCATGCGTGTACCAGGAGTACTTGGGCCATAATCTGCCACTTGTGGCTTCTTACATGAAAATTCCATTAGAAATTCTCTAAAACTGTGATCTGATCTAGCTTTAGGCAAGATTGTTTTTCTCCTTTGGAAAAGCTGAGCTCAACCATTTGTGACTCTGCATTCCTGCTTTTTATCCTCTTAGTGTTCTTTTTCTTTAATCCTCATCTGAGGATATTTTTTCCACTGATTTTTAGAGAGAGTAAAAGCGAGAGAGGAGGGGAAGGGGGAGAGAGAGAGAAACATTGACATGAGAGACACATCCATTGGTTGCCTCTGACTGGGCCTGGATTTCAAACCTGAAACCGAGGTATAAGCCTTTGACCGGGAATTGAAACCGAGACCCTTCGATCTGCAGGCCAACACTCTAACCACTGAGAAAACTGGTCAGGGCTTGGTGTTCATTGTTGTTGATGTTCATTTCTTCTCAGTGATTGTTTTTCTGCATTTTTTAATTGAAAATAGACATTTTATTTTGTTTGTATAAGATACAGTTTAAAATGCAAGTCATAATATGTAGATACTAGAGGCCTGGTACATAGGATTCGTGCACTGGTGGGGGGCGTGGCCTGTGGGGATCAGTCCGCTGTGGGAGCACTGCTCATCCAGTCAGCTGAGTGGCTGTGGACCACCCTCTGAGCGGCTGCTCCCTGGTCCAACATCTTCTGTAGAGCTGGAGCACTCTCCTCTCCAGGGAACCCCGGTCAGGGCCGGGCCCAGGGACACTAGCACTGAGAGGCGGCAGAGTAGGCCTCAGTCCCACAGCAGCCATGAACCCACCTCCCAGCCTCCAGGATCAGCTGTGTGAGCCCGGTGGCAGTGGCGGCAGTGGTGGTGCTGCACAGCCTGCAGGCATCCGGAGAAGGTGGCAGGGAGCAAGGAGGAGGAGCCTGGGGCGAGGAGGTGACAATCACAGCCCGGTTACTGTCCATCAGCCTGGGGTTCGCAGCAGGAGCAGCCTCTCATCCCGATCAGCCTAGCAGCGCTCCCACTGTCATAGCACACTGACCACCATGGGGCAGCTCCTGCGTTGAGCATCTGCCTCCTGGTAGTCAGTGCACGTCATAGCAACTGGTTGTTCTGGCCATTCCGCCATTTGGTCACTGGGCTTTTATTATAGCCTATCTAATAAAAGGGTAATATGCAAATTAACCATCACTCTGTTACAAAAGATGGCAGCACCCATAGTCACAAGATGGCAGTGCCCAGTCCTCTTAGCCCCGCCGGAGTCCCCCAGTCTCAGTGGGGCGGCTGCTGAGAGCGGGCAGCATGAGAGGCCAGAATGCTTGCTTTGTCGCCGCGGCGATGAGGCAGGCGTTCCACGCCCAGTCGCAGATGGGCCTCTGGCCAGGCCGGCGCGTGAAACACTTGTGTCGTCACCCTGATGATAAGGCAAGTGTTCCGCGCCCAGCCATGGATGGGCTCCTGTCAGCATTCACTCAATTTACATGAGTGAGTGCTGACAGGGGCATGTCATCCCTGTGACTTACTCATTTTAATTGGACGGAAAGAGGTATGCAAGCTAGCAGTGCTGGAGGCCCAAGGAGACACGCAGAACTCCACTTGGGGAAATCCGAAAGACACGGCTCATGGAGGCACAGCCACTCTGGGCACTTCACAAATGGGGTGTTTTCTCCCCATTTCTGCTCCACCAAGTGTGCAAATGACAGAACCAAGACTGTATAACACAGATAAAACAGATGGGCCTCTGGGCCGCGGATGGGCCTCTGGGCCACGGAGAGCCTCTGGGAAGCAGGTGAGGAGTGGCCAGGCCCACAGAGAGCTATTGGCGTACAGATTCGTGTGCAAGGCTACTAGTAGGATAATAAACAAAGTATAAATATACACGTATATATATGGAAAATGTCACTGAATTCAGTGTTCTTTCTGAATCCTTAAATTAAGAGAATTCACTGGGCACAATATCTCTTTGCTCCCTTTCGGTGTACGCAGAGCACCTAATTGGAGAGAGTTTTAGGAGCTGAAATGATAATGTCATCCTTATAGACACCTCTCAAGCCAGGAGGAGCCTACTAAATTCACTTAGAGCCTCAGATATATTTCTTTTCTTTGTAAACTGCCAGTCCGGAGGAGGGGCGGAAGAGTCAAGCTGATAAGTTATCCTGAGTAAATATCATAATGAAATAAAAGCCCTGATAGGAAGACGTGAGGCCTTCAATGGCTGGGACTCTGGAAACTTGGCCCCATATCTGAGGCAGGGCAGGCATCGAGCTTCCATCCTAAGCCTGGAGAACCTACTCGTGCAGACAGTGCCGAGGGTGGGCACATCTTGGTGGCTTCTCCCTGGCGCCCAATTCCTTGAGTCTTTTCTAGGTCCTCTCTGGCCAGAGCAGAGTTGGTGCCTTCGCTGTAGCCCTTGCTGGCCCGGTTTTCCCTTGGAGTTTCCTAGACTGTGTGGTAGTTTTCTGTATCCTCCTCTCTGCCATTGTTTCCTCCGGTCATTGGGATATCTTCCATATTTTCCATTTGATCACTGGGTGTCTGGGAAGTTTGCCTGTAAAGCAAATAATTCACAGTTTTTAAAAAGAGAGCATTGCCCTCAAATTGAGTAAACAGTCCCTATTGAACACTCAGATGGAGAAAACTGCACTCGCAGATACTATTTAAATCTATTTTTAGGGTTTTCAATATTTTTAATCCTCTTAACCACCAAAGATTTCCAAATGCTATTGGAGCAGCTTCCCCCCACCTTGCCAACAATCTGCTGAAAACTGGTAGTTCAAATGGCAAGAACAAGAGAAGGAGAGAGTAACTAGGAGTCCAGCTAAGCCAGATGTGATAATCCTGATAAAAATGATATATTATTTATAAAGCTTTTAAAACAGTTCTTGGCACTTAGTGTTAAGTGTTGACCCAGGAACTAGGAGGTTATGGGTTCGATTCCTGGTCAGGTCACATGCCTGGGTTGTGGCCTCGATCCATAGTAGAGGTATGTGCAGGAGGCCAATTGATCAATGTGTCTTTCTATCTCTCTCCCTCTAAAAATCAATAAAAACATTTTAAAAAGTAAACAAATATATTGATCAGTTCCTGAGTAATCAAGAGGAGGGGGGCAGAACACCTTAATTTCATGTTTCTTTGTTGAACAATGTGATTTATAGGCCATGAGTGTCAGAATCAGCTATTTCTTCCATACATTATTTAACCCACCTTCTGAGGATAAGCACTTTTTAGGACATTTTAAAATAAGCACTTTGAGCTCTTTGGAGGTTTACCAATTCTTAAAGAGGTGATTATGAATATTTCTTTAACATAGTCTGTGAATATTGATATTTTCTTCTTATGAGCATATTTATTGGCCATATATACCACATTTTCAAATACTTTTAAAGAATATGATTTAATGTATTATTTTTTAAAAAGATTGTGTATGTATTCTTTTTAAATATAGTCGCCTAGCCAACATGGCTCAGTGGTTGAGCATCTCCACCTGAGAACCAGGAGGTCACTTGACTTAATAAAAGCCCTGATAGGAAGACCTGAGGCCTTCAATGGCTGGGACTCTGGGTTCTATTCCTAGTCGGGGCATATGCCCAGGTTGTGGGCTTGATTCCCAGTGTGGGGCATGCAGGAGGCAGACAATCAATGATTCTCTATCATCATTGATGTTTCTATCTCTCTCTCCTTCTCCCTTCCCCTCTGAAATCAATAAAAATATATTTTAAAAATACATAGTCAATGATTATAGTCATTATAATCTCTTAAGAATGTAACTCCAAATATAGCATTTTATATGGAAATTATTATTATATTTAAAAAATCCTTTTAAGCCGAAACCTGTTTGGCTCAGTGGATGGAGCGTCGGCCTGCGGACTGAAAGGTCCCAGGTTCGATTCCGGTCAAGGGCATGTACCTGGATTGTGGGCACATCCCCAGTAGGAGATGTGCAGGAGGCAGCTGATCGATGTTTCTCTCTCATCGATGTTTCTAACTCTCTATCTCTCTCCCATCCTCTCTGTAAAAAATCAATAAAATATATTTTTAAAAAAATCCTTTTAAAATACATTTTGCCAACATTTTAACATTTTTTAATTTTTTGATAAGTTTTTAAGTAATATAGCAATCTTACTTAATTTCTAAACTATGAGATTTATGGCATTTCTTGTTGGTTGCAATAGTATTAACAGCTTTTGAAGATTTATGTAAATTTTTAGATGATGTTTTCATTTTGGCTTTACAGTAGTATTTCATGAAATGTTCATTTTTTCGAAGTTAGGCTCAAAGGGCAGTATAGTCTTTATAAAAAATATTTTTTTACTAGTAACTAAAAGTTTATTTTCAACAAATCTTAAGTCCATTGATTGTATAAAGCCGAGAAAGGATCCAGAGCAACTACATCAATATGGAATGCTGAAATACTGCTTACTAAATGGTAGAAGTATAAAATTAAGACTAGCCCTGTCTGGCCAGTTTGGATCAGTGGATAGAGCATCGGCCTGTGGACTGAAGGGTCCCGGGTTCGATTCCAATCAAGGGCATATGCCTAAGTTGCAGGCTTGATCCCCAGTAGGGGGTGTGCAGGAGGCAGCCAATCCATGATTCTCTCTCATCAATGATGTTTCTATCTTTCTCCCTCTCCCTTCCTCTCTGAAATCAATAAAAATAAATAAAAATATATTTAAAAATAGAAGAAGAAAAATTCATTTTAAAAAGTTTAAGGAGAATTTAAAAAATGAAATAAAGGCTAATGTGTCATTTGAAGCTTTAATGAAAAAATGATAAAAATGCCTGAAGATTAGAAAAATAATGTCTGAAATTTCAGCAAGTGGCAGAAACAATTTTGTCACAAATGCTGAAATGTATAATTTCAATGATCAGAAATACAAAAGTAAGGCTGACATGAATGAGCGTATTTATAAAAAAGTATATCCATATTTAATGAGTGCATTGAAGAATATATTCATGCCTATATGATAAGAAGTGATACAAATTGCCTGTCTGTCAAATTGGTTAGTTGGCACATTCTTTCTTTCTGAATTGGCTCTTGGTAAAATTGGCCCTGTGTCATCAGCTCTCGCTGCCCCACTTCTGAGCCTGCCTAGGAAAGTAAATGGCTTTCTAAGACTGGCTCAGTGTGACTGCTCAACTCTGACACTGTTGTGTGTTTTTTAAATGCTCACCTGAGGATATATTTTAGAGAGAGGAAGGGAGAGAGAGAAACATCAGTGTGAGAGAGAAACATTGATCAGTTGCTTCCCATATGGATTGCATACTGAAACTTGGGTATGTGCCCTTCCTGGGAATCGAAACAACCTTCTTTTGGTATATGAGACGATGCTCCAACCAGCTGAGCCACCAGCCAGGGCCGACACTCCTTTTGGCCAACGTAAAAGTGGGGTGAGAGTGAGAGCCTGTGTCTCTAGCCAGGAAAGGGATTCTTCATTGGGAAGGCAGGCCCAGGGTCATAATAATGAACTCTTTTCTCGGAGGAAAGGACGAATCTTGTCCAGTGTGATTCTCTTGTGCCACTCACCTTGATTTTTTATGATAACATACCAGAAGTAATACCACACATACTCCACAAAACACAGTGACAGGTGTGGAGATGGCTGCCACTGTAAAAGAAGAGAAATAAGCTGGCATCATGCTAAAAGTCCAGGTAGCAGATTCATTTCATTTTTTTCCTTTTAATTTATCGGGGTGACACTGGTTCATAAAATTACACAGGTTTCAGTTGCATAGTTCTACAACTCATCATCTGTACAATGTGTTGTGTGTTCAGCACCCCAAGTCAAGTCTCCATCCATCACCATTTATCCCCCTAGAAGGTTAATTTCTACGAATCTGAAAATTCTTTACAGTTTACATTCCCGCAGAGAGATACAAACGCCTTCCCAAACAGCTTACTGTTATTAACATTACTTAAGGTTCCATGCAATTCAATCTATTCTATCTCTGGGCAAAAACTACATTCCTTTCCCACCAACACTGCCAGTTCAAACTGTCCAGTTCATGTTATCCCTTCTCCCATCCTCCTAATCCTTGTCCTTCCTGAGCAGAGTGAGTGATGGGCAGGGATGGGAGTAAGTCAGGAGGGGAAAGTAAGCACTTCGTGAGAAGAAATGCTTGCTGCTAAATCCAAAGTGAAGAAAGTAGACATGGTCAGGGTCCTCCTCAGTTGTCCTCCGGCACAACCTCCCCCTTTTCTGCAGCTTCGCAGAATCCTGATTTAGAAATGATAGCTTGCAGTGTCATTTTTCTTCCAATTCCATTAGCATTATTTGCTACTTTTTTATGACAGAGGAAGAGTGGTAAAGAGAAAGAAGAGGTGTTATAAGAGAGATCTTACAGGTAAGAGGAGAATAAAGTAATGCTGAGGAAAAGGAAAAAACTGTTGACTGAGTTGAAAGGAACAGCATGGATGGTGGGAGGATTTGAGGGTGGAAGGCCAGCAGCCACAACAGCATTTGAGATTTATTAGACAGGAACAGTGGGATCCTTGTGTGGAAGCAAAAAGGCAGGTGAACATAACTATTTTTAAAACACTGAGTCAATAATAAACTCCAAGCAGATTTTGTCAGTTTGCCTTAATATTATGAAATCTCCCTGCAAAAATCACCTGGCTGCCCCACTTGCAAGATGACAACCCTGAACATCTGGAGAGCCAGTTGTCTTATGTGGACCATGAGTCAATTAGTCTCTGAGACCATGAAACTTTTCAGACCTGTCCCTGTACAACCAACACACAACCTTGTAGGCAAGGGTAAATCCCCATGGCTTGGCATTTAAAATACAACCCTATTGAAATGCAGGTTAAATATATGGATATGGGAAACACCCAGATTCTCTGCTTTGTAGGAGTGAATGTAAATGGGTACAGTTTTTCTCAAAAGTACTTGGCAACATAACAAAAGCTCTAGAGAAGACAATATAAGTTAACTCTCCAGTTCTACTTCTAGGACTCATTCTAAGGAAATGGGAAAGTATACATAGGAATATTCACTGAAGTACTGTGTAAAATAATTTTTAAAATGTTCATCTAAATATCTTATCAGTAGAAAATTAGTTAAAATGTGTTAATACTCATCCAATGGAATATTATTCAGCTTTTAAAAATTACAAAATGGCCCAGCTGGTGTAGTTTGACCTATGAACCTATGAGCTTTGATCTGTGAACTAGACGGTCACAGTTTGATTCCATCAGGGCACATACCCAGGTTGCTGGCTTGATCCTCAGTAGGGAGCATGCAGGAGGCAGCTAATCAATGATTCTCTCTCATCATAGATGTTTCTGTTTCTCTCTCTCCCTTTCTCTTCCTCTCTGAAATCAATAAAAATATATTTTAAAAATTGTGAAATTAATCTATATTAACATGAAAAGATGTCTATCTATAATAATAAAAGTGTAATATGCTAATTAGACCAGACAGCCGAATGACCTCTGGATGTCCTTCTTGATGAAGCCGGAGCTGTGAGGGCCAACCCCCTTGCATAAGTTTTGTGCATTGGGCCTCTAGTGATATCATAAGTGAAAAAAGGTGGGTGAAATAAAAATGAACCAAAAGAAATCCAGTAAGCCATGTGTGTGTCATATGCACACAAAAATCTTGAAAAATAACTATCAAAGTATTAAATAATGGTGGGATTATAATCTTTATGTTCTTTAAAAAATTTCCCCCTGATATTTTTGCAAAGATGCTATAATCAGAAGAAACAATAAAGTGCAAAAACAAAACTAATTGCAGTAGAAAAAAGCATAGAAAAGTTGTTCTAAAAGAAGTAACAACAAACTTGGAAAACTAGTGAAAGTTCTTTTGCCTTTTTAAACAACATTACTCGTCAGTATGACTAAAAATCAGAAGTCTTTTATTAGAAGAGATATTGCAGCTGATAATAAACTATTTCTTCACGTTGACTAATCAGTTTGGCATGCATTTACTGTTCATGGAGAGATTTATTGGAAAAGGCAAGTTGATATAAACAGTAAGTATTTCACAATGCTTCTTCCTGTTTATTTGTAATGAGAATTTAAACTACAGACTCAAACTCAAGGGAGAAGAGGGCTCCTGAGCCAATGATACAACAAAGCAATTTGAACTCAGTGACTTAAACTCAAACCCTTGGCCTCTTCCTCAGTTATATACAGACATATTTAGTAAAGAAATTGAAACCAGAATTACCACAACAATGGACTAAGATATCAACTGCCAAAGTCCTCCACCCTTTTGTGTTTACTAGGGATGCATGGATTATAGAAAAAGAAAGTGAAAGAGATTTCATGAGATAGAGGAGGATTAGAATCTGGGAGAGAGAGGAGAAAAAGTGGATTATTGCACAGGAGGCCAGAAAGGCTAATAACTGCCTGCCTAGCATTCAACCTACCATTCAACATGCATGTTGGGTCTGGGGCATAGAAGGTAGCCTAGGCAGCCAGGGGCCACTGTTGGATGTGGATGATGAAATGTCCTCTGTGAACATACAGGGAATCGCCATTCCTTAGCAGTACCTGCAAACTAGGTCAGTCAGGGAATAGTACGTATTTCTGTCACTGTGCCCAGAGTCCTTGTGTGTCTGCATTTGATGAGGGCAATTTTGAAGTAAGAATGTCAGTTCTGGGCAGTTTTCCTAAGTTTTTTTTTCTTCTTCTATTAGTATCTGTTACTTTACTAAGCACATTCCAAGTGTTGGGCTCAGAGTAGATAATCAATACTTACTTGACTGAATTAAATAATTACCATCCCATAAGTTGAAATACATACATTTAAAGTGCCATTTGCTTTTTAATGAGAAATCTGCATTTCATTGCAGGTTAGTACCAGACCTGCCACAAAATAGAATCTCCATTTCTATTGATTGAACAGATGAACGTTACAAGGTAGCTTCTGTTAAAGGCTGAGTATATGGACTGTAGCAAACTTATTTCAGATGTGGCAGAAAAGGAACTCCTCACTCCTAGTGTACTAAATGAAGATGGCCATGTAAACACCCTCATAGATGACGTTTTGACCTTTTATTTTACAACTAGAGGCCTGGTGCACAAAATTTGTGCACGGGGGGTGGCCCTCAGCCCAGCCTGAACCCTCTTCAATCTGGGACCCCTTGGGGGATGTCCGACTGCCAGTTTAGGCTCGATCCCTCTCACAATACAGGACTGCTGGCTTCCAACTGCTCACCTGCCTGCCTGCCTGCCTGATTGCCCCTAACCGCTTCTGCTTGCAAGCCTAATCACCCCTAACTACTCCCCTGCCAGCTTGATCGATGCCTAACTGCTCCCCTGCTGGCCCAATCGCTCCCAACTGCCCTCCCCTGCTGGCCATCTTATGGCTGTGGGCGCCGCCATCTTTGAGGGTGGGGCAGTCAGTTAGCATATTCCCTCCTTATTGGCTGTGGGCGCCACCATCTTTGTGATGGTGTGAGGGTCAATTAGCATATTCTCTTTTATTAGATAGGATTGAGATGCTTCAAGAATAGCTTAGTCAAGTATCAGAGACCAGATATTGGAAAAACTGAATAAAGTTATTGATAAAAAGGGCTGCCAAGTGAGGCAGTAGATATTTGAGACAATGAGATGATAAGCAACATTTCCTGAATATTTATTTAGATGTTAAAGCCCTCAAATTTACTTAATAGTTGCTCATTCATACACTACTTATTCATTCAATATTTCTTTTGGACTAAAGAAAGCAACTTTAAAAGTTGTGATATCTTTTATAGCCTTATTTAAAAAATAAATGATATTGGTAGTATCAATGGGTTGATTAAAACATTAACATTTACTGAGCAACCACTATAGTATAAAGCATCATTTATATATATTTTTTTTACAAAGATGAGCTCAACTGATTGCTTATTCATGTGGAAATAGTAACAGCCACTGATGCCCAGGAAACCAGCGAGTACCTCTGTCACTGATACCTGGCCTGGGCATACTCTTAGGTTAGGTGGCTGGGACTGTATGAGACATACTTTGAAGGCATTATAACTAAGTCTTTTTAGAAAGTTAGCATGATTTTCATTTTAGCATACACCTTCTTAGCGGATGAAACTCAAGTAATACATAATGAAATATAGCTAGTTTTTATCTCCTTGCTGAAATTACTTGCTTTCTTATAGTTTTAATATGTCTGTCTTTTTTTTAAATGTCTTTATTGGTGTTTTTTGAGAGAGAGAAGGGAGAGGGAGAGAGAGAAACATTGATGAGAGAGAGAAACATCAATTGGCTGCCTCCTGCCCCTCCACCCCCCACCTACTGGGGATTGAACCTGAAATTAAGGCATGTGCCCTGATTGGCATCCAAACCAGTGACCTTTGGTGCATGGGATGATGCTCAACCAACTGAGTGGCCAGGGCAATATGTCTATCTTTATATTTAAGCAGCTTGAAAGAAGATAATCTTATTCATACAATATGAATGGTTTAAAGCTGGTTTTTTTTCTTCTAAGTCTCGGTATTTTCACAGTTCTTTGCACATAGCTATCTTTATCTATTGTACATGTTCAGTTAATGTTTATTATATTACATTTCAGAATTTGGGAGTGAGTTTCTGATATTTTAATCCAGTGAAAGACATAAATTGGAAAAAATAGATTATAGTCCATAATAAAATAGTTTGAAAATCTACATAGAAAATATGGCTCCAAAACTTTATAAGATTTTATCCTACAGATATATTCGCACATATGCAAAACAATACAAGGCTTTCTAATTTTTCATTGTTTGTAATATAGCCAAAGAATGTAAGCAGTCTCGTGTCCAAATAGAGAGTTGGCTAAATAAATTGTGGTAAATCCATACAATGGAATATTTTTAAGTTCTTAAAAAGAATGATGTGGTTTTATATACTGATGTGGAAGAATCTCCAAAATATAGCATTAAGTGAAAACAAAGTACAGAACCTTGAAAATAAAATACCTAACTGGCTGGCATCATATATCCTCTGTGTGCTGCTGACATACTGACTTTCTCTGATGGGTACACAGAAATCTGGTAGCAGGGGATTTCTTCCTTCCCACAGATGATTTTCAGTCAGAGAGAAGGCTTACTTTTTACTATAGATCCTTTTGTAATTTTTTATTTTTAAACCATGTGCAAAAATTTTCAGTTCAAAAAATGAATAAAGCCCTAGCCGGTTTAGCTCAGTGGTTAGAGTGTCGGCTTGCAGACTGAAGGGTCCAGGGTTTGATTCTGGTCAAGGGTACATGCCCTGGTTGTGGGCTTAGTCCCCAGTAGGAGGGCGTGCAGGAGGCAGCCAATCAATGATTCTCTCTCATCACTGATGTTTCTCTCTCTCCCTCTTCCATCCTCTCTGAAATCAATAAATACTTTTTAAAATGAATAAAAAATTTAAAACTTTGTAGAAAGATTAATGTAGTACGTGACATAAAAAGAAAAATTAGATTGGCTTCTTTATTTATTGGTCTCCTCTTAAATGATAAACATGTTCTTGTTTTCATATCCTTGCCATTAAATGCCATAGTTTCTCCATGAAAATACTCTCCAAAGAGCCTTTCCACACTGTCTTTGTATATATAATGGATTTTAAAAAAATTCTAATCAACTAACTGCTGAGATGACCAAAGCCACTTTTTTTCCCCAGATGACACTAATGCAGATAAAATATAACCACAAAAATATGAATCTTTCTCTAGCAGGAAAACTTGTAAATCAAAAATAGAAATCGTTTTGCCCATATGACATTAGAGTGGTTTTCAGTTCATTGAAAACCTCTCAGACAAAAGTATCAGATCCTTTCTTACTTCTTGCATTTCTCTCTCCTGGCTTCTTTCTCATTTTCGCTCCTCTCTTCTCTGAGCTTTCCTCTCCTCCTTGCATCTTTTTCTTTCATTCTTGTTAACAATTTTCCATCTTCCTCCTTATATTTACTGGGACATTCTCTCCTAGTCTTAGTGTTGTGTGCATCTCCTGTAAAAAGGCTTCTAGACAGAGAAATTTGAATGGTCTGGCTGTAGGTGCGTGGTGCTCACTAACACTCTGGGGGAGTAGTGCAGTCTGTATGTCAGCAGAACAATGTCATCTCCACAGTGCCAGCACGCACTCCTGGTTACCTAGTAAGTCTTGGACAGACATCTAGCCCTGCTTAGTAGAACTGAATTGCTGAATAGGCCCTTGTTGTGATGTATCTACTCTTTGGTTTCCATATCAGGAGCCTGCCAGTGGTAAGGTACCAATATGAAAATAGTGATGTCAAATAAAGAATTCCATAAATAGGGTGATCTTGTAACTTACTTTCTACACCGATACACTTGAGAGTAAAAGGGGATGCTATTAGTGATCATGCTGGGACAACTGGCACAAACCAGGACTGTTCAGCTTCCTGGGACAAGTCCCCTGCCCTTCAGCACTTCCAGGACAAAGGGAGATACTTACCAGTGACAGCTGTGGAATTGGATGAATGTGCACCTGAGGGAAGAGATTGCAGCTCAGTTATGACGGTAGTCCTAAAGGTACTATTCTCATTAAGCAGGAGAAATTCTGCACAATTTGGTTCCTAACTTAAAGCCTTGAGCAATGCATGACTGGAAAAACCAAGCTCATTTTAGCAAAGAACAAACAAGGTCATTAATTCATTTACAGGCTGGGCCATGCTTAAGAGTCAGATGTGCCCTTACAGAAGATACAGGTTACTGAGTGCTCCTCCATCCCATAGATCGTGACTCCAGAGGGTGGGAAGCTTCCTCGTCCTCCCACATTAGGAGGAGGCCGATATTATTCAGATTCTTAGCAAAGCAGGTTAATACGGTGAGACTTGGCACATTTGGGAAATGGACTTCCTTTTCACCTGGCCTGAGCCAGGGTGGAGTACAAAACAGAGAGACAAGAGCAAGAAGGATGTGGCAGAGAGCTGGTGGCGGAGGGTTGCCAGGTTGTTCTGATTTTGGAGGGTATTATGTCATGCAGGCAGAGAGCTGAACTCCCCTAAAGTGTGCAAAGACAGTGCCAACCTGGCTTCTCGAGGGAGGTGGAGGGAGTGTGTTCCAAGGCCTTTGCAGTTGTCTGAGGTGGGGCTTGGGAGGGCTCATTCCTGACTACCCTTGTGGTTCCTGCAGGAGATTTGGATGGCATCAACCTGGAGCCCGGTACCACAGCTGGCTTTGTGGCCACTGTGGTGTCTGGCTTGGAAATGAAAGCTGGCTCTGTCGGAAGGTGCAACACATGGACAACATAAATGTTTAGAATAGTAACTTTCTTAGCTCCAGAGGAGAGTGAACTTAATCTGTGCTCTAAGGAGCCCACCCTGGGCCAGCCCTCCCCCAGGACACTGCTCCATGGATCTTTATGAAAATCCCTTAAGTGTGTAACGTAGTCATCCATCCGGGGTGGCCATAAGACTTTTGAGAATGCTAGCGGATTTGCAGAGTAAATTACAAAGATTAGGGTAGATCCAGGCTGTTTACTAGAGAAGACTGGTCTCAAACAAAAAAAAAAAGACACACAAGTGGAACTGTATTTGCCAAAGCCGAGACATCTGGGATGCTGGTTTTAGTTTATTTTGTACATGTTTTCACAAAACTTCTAAATAAGAGGGAGCCTGAGATTCAGCCCATCTGAACTACAGAGTGTTTTTGAAGGGCTTTGCCCCGGTCTCGGCATCTTTGGCCATTGGCCACATTATTTGGGCTGCTTTCTCATGTGTTCCCAGCCACAGATGCTGTGAAAAGTCCTCATGCCCTTTAATCCTTAGTCACGTCCTCATACTACCCAGACAGCCAGCACTCCAGGTACTTTGCATAGAGTTCCCCCAGAGCTTTCCCATCCAAGTGTCCATGGCAACGTCACTCTCTGTCAAAGATGACAATCTCACATCTGAGATTTCGACTGTACAATTTCATCTGATCAAGTGTTTGGTGCATGAAGGCAGAACTGGGAGAGGCCACTTGATGATTCTCATTAATTGGGTGACTCAAAGGAGCTTTAGAACTGCCCCAAACTTAAATATAGCCAGTACCTCAGCCTCTGCCTTCTGTTTGTAGCCCGCTAATTAGAAGGAAACCTTTTTCTGGCCTTTCCATCCTCCCTTCAGCAGTGGTTCTCAGCCTTGGCTACCTAAGAATTACCCAGGGAGCTTCTAGAATTCTGATTCCCAGATTGCTCTTGAGAGTTCCAAGGTGACCTCAGTGGACAGCCAAGATTAGGAACCATGCTCTAGGGAGGCGTGCCAAGCATAACAAAATGACTGTGCCTGGATGGGAGGAGACAGGGGCCAGGAAAACCCACAAATTGGAAAACGGGACACAGAAAATCAAGAGTTAAGTGTAAAGTAAGGGTATCATAGGACATGGGGCACATTGTCCCATGATACTTAGCACCAAATGTTTCGGATTTTCTTAACACGGAGTCAGTGCTGAGGAAATTGGGATGGATGATTACCTAAGACTCAGTGGAAATGTGGCACATTGGGCAGCTTTGGGCAATGCTGCTACACCAGAGCCATCATAGTTAACTTGCTGGGTGCATAGGGATTGTTGGGGAGGCAGTTTCTGCATAGGTCTCTCATGTTTCTGAAATTTCACTTTCTTTTGTTATTAATACTTTACAGAAGCTTCCTTCTAGGAATCAGGAATTCAAATACTGGTTTTTGTTGTTGCTTTTAAAAAATTATTCATAATTGACACAGTATTATATTAGTTTCAGGTGTACAACATAGTGATTTAACATTTATATGCTTTACAAAGTGATGGCCACAGCTCTGACCAGGCGTGTTGTGTTTTCTGCCAGTACCCCTGAAACTGTGGTGGGCTAACATGTGAGGCAGGCCAAACCTCAGAACCTCCCTGAGAAGGAGAGCAGTTTTAACAAGGATAGCAGTTAAGTGTGATCTGACATAATAAGAGTGGATTTTAAACCATTATTAATCATGCACATATAAAACCTGGATATCAAGCCCCTTTGATTTAAAACAGAAAATTAAGCTAAGGTAAGTTTTGTTTTTGATTTTTAAAAAGTTTTGTTCTATTACGTAAGTTTGTAGTGGAACTCCAGCAGTGGTCCATGAATCTGAGGGATTTGTGGGGACCTGAATGTTAGCAGGGAATGGAAGTCCTTAAAAAATTCCCAACATTCCTACCTTTTCCAGAAGGGGAGGGGCTCTCTGGCTCTGGGGTCACCCCTGCTGGCGCTACTGTGGAGGATGGCCTTTGGCGGGTCAGGGAGGGGTCTCCTAGAGAGAGGACAACCACATGGCATTTATGATCCTGAGGGTGGACCCTGGGGTGGCTTCAGAACTGGATATAAATAAACATACACATTTAAAACGGATACATTTGGCCTCCTAGGATAGGTCAGAAGCACAAGAAATAAACTACAATCAATGTTTCCCAACCTGCAGTTCTCATGCAAATTCAAGCACAGACTGCAAACACAATAGGCAGCAGGAGTATCAGCAAATATGCATCAATTCCCTCATCCCCAAGCCCCAGAGAGGCAACATGGATGGGCCAGAATAGATACATCCAGTGGTCTGCAACACAGCAGGGGAAGCCTGAGCTCAGGGAACCTGAGTCTTTTATTAACAGCATGACCATGTCTGCCTTCTCTCCAGAGGCAGGTGCTGTCTCCATCTTCCAAGGCTGTATATATACATGCATCCTTGAGAAGATCAGGGAAAGGGCCAGTCAGTCCTCTACATCAAGTAGAAGGCTTCCTCCTTGCTTTGCCTCTGATGTCTGCATGACAGTCATGCAAAGGGAGGGACAGGTTGAGGGGGAGGGGTACCAGGTGGTCTAAACACTACAAATTCAATAAGAAAGTCTGGCTCTCCAAGGAGTCCTACAATAAAGTGAGTTTGCTATAGAACAACCTCCCCTCTGCTCTGACTGGTGTCACTAAGTGGTTAGAGCATGGGGCCCATGCACCAAAGGGTTGTGGGTTCAATGTGCTGGTTTGATTACTGGTCAAGGGCATGTACCTGGGTTGCAGGTTTAATACCCACGATACCCATTCCCAGTCGGGGGGCGCTACGAGAGGCAACCAATCCATATCCGCCCCCCTCTTTCCCACCATCCACTGTCTCTAAAAATCAATGGAAAAAACCATCCGGCGAGGATAAACAAAAACACAGACAAACAAAACCTCATCTCCTTACCCCTCTGCTTCCCCCATAGAGAAGTTGGCAATTTTCACAAATGTTTTATGAGAAAGTATCTCACTCACTGCTGGACATGTACCAAGTAAGCAATAAATGTTAAATCAGAAGACTGTGGCTTAATATTTTTTCTAGAGTAAGTGGATTAGTATTTCTGGAAATGGCACAATTAGCTTCCACCACAAGATTAATTGGCTCCTTCTGGCATGGTTATCCAGTTGTAGGTGGTTTACAAAAATTGATTCTGGCGACTTTTCCTCACACTTGCTCTGGACCACTGACTGGACACCAGACTTGGGTAACCGAGTTAGGGAATCTGCGCCCATGTGTCTCCGCAGTCTCCTGGGATGGATACCACTGGAGAAGAATGCAGGCCTTCTCCCAGGGAGAAACTGGAAAAGCTCTCTGGGAAGCAACTATGCTTGAGCACACATCCTTGTCTGTAGCCAAATTCTTGCTACCAAAATCTTAAAGCACCAATGGTAATAATAGTTAATATTTACCAGCTTTCACTGAATCCTTCTACAAACAAGCCACAATGCACATCAGGTCCATTTCCTATATAAGAAACCTAGAGTTCCGAGATATGAAGGCCCTTGCCCAAAGTCTCATAGGTTTAGGTAAGTGGCAGAGCCAAGATTTGAACCCAGAATTGTGTGACACCCTCCCTGCTCCAAAGCCCATGTATGTCCACCTCCAGAGGTGTTGTTTAGAGGTCTATTGGTTTATTTAGTCTCAGACCTCAACACAAGTCTCTTGCCCCCTCGGGTGGGCTATTCCATGGCCCACATTGCAGCACTGCTGTCTATGTGTCCTTGGCAAGGGTGGCAGGGAGGGATGGTGCAGGGGCAGGTACTTACTGATGCATATGAGAGTGGGAATGGTCCACTGGGTAATGTTTGTGTCCTCGTTACGCAGGCACTTAGTCAGGCTGGACGTACCAGCTTTTCGCTTGAAACCGGAGTTACAAATATAACGCTCCCTGGAGTTCTCATTATAACTCTTGACCTGGATGTTTGCATGTTCAATAGAGGTTGGAGTAGAGCATGTGGTACCTGCAAAAGTACAGATAAGAGGGACAGATGAACAAATTTCAGCTTGTTCAGAAATCTTCCAGAAGCCTGCCTTAGGTGCCAGACTTTCAGCATAGCTAGACATGGAGGAGTTATCAGAGAAAACCACCTTTGCCTCACTCTCACTTCCCATCCTCCCCAGCCTCAATCTCTCTCAAAGGTATCCATCTCTCTGTTTCTCTTCTGCCTCATCCATACCAAGCCTTTGAGTTCTCTTGCCTAAACAAATAGCAATAGCCTCCAGGCAGCAAGCATCATCTTTATAAATGCATATTCGATGTCTTTGCTCTTTCCTGATATTCTGCTGCTCTTAAAATAAAAACTAAAATCCTTAAGTCCTCAAGGATCATCCAGAACTGGCCCTGCTTGCCTCTCTAGCTACTCTTCCCCTTGGCCACAGAGGACTGTGGTCCCCTTATGCCACTTACCAGGCCTTCCCTCCCTCCCCTTGCCTCACTCTTGGCTGGCCATCTGTCATCCTTCCTCAGGAAAGTCTTCCCTCACCCCCCAGTCAGGCCCTGGAGTTCTCTGTTCTTTCCCTGTATAGTTGTATTTAAGATGTTGAGGTGATGTAATGAATGTATGTCTCACCATCTGCACTGTAAGCTATAGAGGGTAGGGGTCACATCTGTTTTGCTCAACATTGTATTCCATAGTACAGTACCTGGCAAGAATAGGTGCTCAAGAAATACTTATTCAAAGAATGAATGGATAAAATTTCTTCCTCAACACCAGGCTTAAGTCTGACCTTCTAATATAAGTTCTATTTATTTAATTTCTACACGTATAACCAGCTTATCTAATTCTTCTCACTTTTTTGGAAGAAACCAGAGGCAAGATGAATTTCCCCAGGTGGCTCTACTTTTGTGACAGCTGGAATTAAACACTGATTCCAAAATGTAAGCTAAAAACCCTGGCAATGTGGCTCTCATTCTGTTCTGTGGAAATGAAGAGTTTCATCGGTTGATATCTAAGGATATTGGCCCAAGAAGAAACTAAAGGACTGAAATGTTGGCCATTTTCATTTTGAGGATGTCATATTTATTACTGACTTTTTGTTATTGTTAATTATTTATGGCCTGTTGATATTTTTGCATCGTTAGAAAAATTCCTATATAAAAGCATTCAACATAAACGTTAAACACATTTAATGAGTTTAATGAGTTGTAGGAGTACTTCACTTTTTTCTACATTATGTAACAACAAAACTTGCAAAAAAGAAAAAATAACTTTTTCTTTCACTGGGCAAAACTGTGAAATTGGCATTATTTATCATGTACCTAATGTAAAATGCTGCAGATCCCAGGAAAGAATCTATTTCTAAATCCTCGATAACAGTATCCTCCTTGGCACCAATTTTGTAGACTGGGGTTCTATAAAGAAACCCCAAAAGGGTCTTTACTTATTAAAAGATGAGAATTAGCCCTGGCCAGTATAGCTCAATTGGCTGGGCATCATCTCATGCATGGAAAGGTTGCCAGTTTTATTCCTGGTCTGGGCACATGCCTGGGTTGCAGGCTTGATCCCCAATAGGGGTGTGCAGGAGGCAGCCAGTCGATGTTTCACTGTCACAGTGATGTTTCTCTCTCCCTCTCCCTTACTCTTTCTCTCAAAAATCAATAAAAATATTTTCTTAAGTTAATAAAGAAAAAAAATTTAAATATTTTTTTTAAAAGGTGAGGACCAGCCAATGTATTGTTCTACCATGTTTGTTCCAAAATAATATTGCTGGCCTATCCTTAAGATGAGGTCCTGTCCAATGCCAGAAAGATTCTATTGCAGAAAAGGTTAAAAGCAAAATTTTTCTTTAGCCACTTGAAACACTGTATGATCTTTTTAAAATTTTATTTTTCAATCAATTATAGTTGACATATTAATTTAGTATCAGATTATAGCATAGTGATTAGACATTTAGATAACTTAGGAAGTGATCACCCCCATAAATCTACCTATCGGACACAATTGTATGATTTTTTATGCTTTTTCCTATTAATTCAATACATTTAAGGTTTTCTTGCATGCAGAGGAGATGAGCAAGAACTAGTTTCTGAGGCCAAGCTTTGCCCGAGGCAGTGGAGGTGGCTTAGAGTGGGCTGCGTTGGAAGGAAAGTCCCAGGCATGGAAATTCTTCTGCAGCATTTTCCATTGTCCTGGAGCTTGTATGGACGTGTTGAGAAAGTATTGCTGCGCCTCCCTCCCCCCAGCCCCATTACTGAAAAGGTCATTGGCTGAAGTGCTGGCAAAGGGCAGAAACCAAGGTTACCTACCAAATTAGCGGGGAAAGCATACAAATCTGTGGGCTTCCTTCAGTTCCCCGGGGAGCTGGCTTTTTGGTTCCAGTGTGGAACCCTGAATAAGTCTCTGCTGAGCAGCTGGGACATCAGCAAGCAAGAAGGTTAGGACTCATCCAAGAGAACCGAGAGCAATCTTTCTAAGGAGGGTAGTCTGAGGGGGGACTGAATATGGTGGCAGTTAGAATCACAGACGAGGCGGGCCAATCCACAGAAAGCAGGTGAGCAGGAAGGAGAAAGCTGCTATTTAGTCAAAGCAGACCCAGATCCTGCCTGACCAATAGAAGGTTCAGGTTGCTGGAAAGCAGGCACAGATTCTATTGGGATAAATCAAATGGGCGTGGCTTATTTGAAGCATATAGAAAGAAATCAGCATCACCTGAATATCCAGCTAGAGATCAGAGACTTTGTCCAGGATGGATGGAGATTTGTGTTCCAGAATTCAGAATCCTCACATTCAGAGCTGTGGAAGCTGATCAAATTTTCCAGAATCTGTCCCCCTCCAGGCCTAGTACACAGTTTAAGCTGGATAGGTGGCCAAGCTCACCTCATCCATTTGGGAATTAGGCTGTCCACAGTTCTATGAGGGAGCGGAATCATCAGACTTTCAGACCAGAATTGCCTGATCCTGGCACATTCCTAAGCTCAGCTATGAGAATGAACAGTATACCAAGCAGCCATTAGACCAGCTCCAGGCTTATCCTGAAGATCTTCTCAGCATCTGTCAATATAGAGGTGCCACAAAAATAAAATGAAGGGATGCCCTGGCTCATGTGGATCCATTAGTGGAGCGTTGTCTCATGCACTGAAAGGTCACCAGTTTGATTCCTGGTCAAGGCACATGCGCAGGTTGTGGGTTCAGTCCCGGACCATATGGGAGGCAACCAATCAATGTTTCTCTCTTTCTTTCTCTCTCTCTCCCTCCCTCCCTTCCTCTCTGGTCAATGTAGCTCAGTTGGTTACACTGTCCTCCCGTGCACCGAAGGGTCTGAGGTTCAATTCCCAGTCAGGGCACATACCCAAGTTGCAGGTGTGGTCCCTGGTCTGGGCACATATGATTCCTGGTCAGGGCGTATATGGGAGGCAAATGATTGATGTTTTTCTCTCACATCTGTGCTTCTCTTTCACATCCATGTTTCTCTCTCCTTCTCCCTTTCATTTTCCCTTACTCTCTCTCTAGAATCAGTGAAAAACATATCCTCATGTGAGGATTAAAAAAATAAAAATAAAAGGAAAAGCAAGCTGGGCTAGATAATGAGTAAATAGTGATTGTTTGAAGCTTCTGTAGATTTTCCTCCCAAGCCCATCTCTGCTGTTAAATCTGGGGGCAAAGGTATAAAGTCACTGTCATCTCTCCTTTTCTTCTTGAAAAATTTGTAGGAACTAGTCATCGTCAATGAGTAAAACAGTCCAGGTTTTGGAGGAAGAAATTACAACTATGGAAAGGGGAAAGCGATGAGTAGAATGTACCTTATGGTGTTTAACTAGAATTGAGGTTGGAGATATTAGTATGTAATTAGTGTGTATGTGTACACATATGTGTACATGAGTTTGTGTACCCTTGTGTGTCTGTGTGAGTGTGTACATGCAAGGATGTACCTGTGTATGTGTGTGCTAATTTTGTCCTTTGATAGTGCCTAGAAGCAATGACATATTAGCAGCAAACATACTTGGTACCCAGATCTTGGTCTCTACAAAAAGACTGATTCCAGAGTTAGGACATGGGAAGCACAAGTGAGTATGGAATATATTGTGCCAGGAAGTAAGGAAGTGCTCAAAGAATGATAGAAACATTTCGAAGGATACAGTGGCCAGGTTGAATCAGCTCTTGTGAGCCAAATCTGGGGCAATTTGAATATTAAAATAAAATAGTAACAGATTATGGAACAAAATAAAATTCCATAAGTTTGTACTAATATCAGTAAATAAGTAAGTAAGTAAATAAATAAATAAATTTGGGAGAAGAGAAAGCCTTTTAAAAAATATTAGAACTGATGATACTTTATTTTTTAATATATTTTTATTGATTTCAGAGAGGAAGGGAAAGGGAGAGAGAGAGAGAAATATCAAAGATGAGATGAGATTGGTCAGCTGCCTCCTGTACACCCCTTCTGGGAAAGGGGGTCGAGCCTGCAACCTAGGCATGTGCCCTTGACTGGAATAGAACCTGGGATGCTTCAGTCCACAGGCCGACGCTCTATCCACTGAGTCAAACAAGCTAGGGTGAGAAAGCCCTTCTTACAGTAGATCGAAATTCAATTTAGTAATATTGGGACAAATCAGTATCATATGCCTCCTGATCCAATTCACTGAGAAAGACACAGCATCGCATCTGTGGTATTCTTCCCCAAATCCGATGAACCTAAATTGATGGATATGCTAAAAATAGTTGGCTTGCTTAGGCTGTGTGGCTTGGTGGTTGAGAATTGACCCATGAAACAGGAGGTCACAGTTTAATTTCCAGTCACGGCACATGTCCGAGTTACGGGCTCGACCCCCTGTAGGGGGTATGCAGGAGGCAGCCAATCAGTGATGTTTCTATCTCTCCTCCCTTCCTCTCTGAAATCAATAAATATATAATGAAATATTTAAACATAAAGGGACATAATGTCTCCAAATTACTTTTTTAAAAATTAATCTTCATTGCTGAGATTATTACAGATGTCCCTCTTTTTCCTCCTATATCTCCCC